AATACAATTAATCTCGTTAACAGTATTAACACTGTATCTACCACTTGTGATCGAGACAATCACTAACGACCGATATATCCGCCATCGCGTAAGAGTCCACGTTGCAAAGCTTTATAACTTGATAATCAAAGTATGAATCTCCTAAATTAATCATCTCCAATTACGCTGATTCAAAATATAAAGAAAAAACCAAAGCAACATAATTTTGACAGGTTACAGCTGAAAAGCCGATTAACTCTTTGGGATTAGGTGGTTTAAAAACTGTCCCCCGTATTTTAACTCATCTCGAAAAGTTGAAGTTACTCATAATCATATAATTTACTATTTTAATTTAAGTTTTCCATCCAGTTGGCAATGCTATGAACTAACGATAAATGCGTAAATAAGTGAGAGCAAAACTGTACAAAAGTCGAAACACATTAGTAAGTTGTTGAGACTGTTGCGATTAAGGTTGGCGAATTGTGCAGTATATTGAATTATGTACAGCTTGGGTTGTTTTCTTCTTGAAAATCGTGTGCCTCGAAGAGTTAACCCTTTGCGGACGAACGTCGACATTTCTGCAGGATGAAATATTCGTGTTTGGAAGACTAAGTCGCAGACAAATGATGTAATTATTGAAACAGCAAGAGATCAGCACGTATTTTCCTTCTTTTTATATTAATTAAGCAATTTATGTGTAATTTAACTTCATCTGCTGAAGGTTTTGTATATTTCAAAGCATGTTCGTCCGCAGAGGGTTAATAGGCTTCCTATATAAATGATAACCGTACGAAGGATACACTCGACGATCGCGTGACTCATCTTGAAAATCAATTTCAATGCTCTCTTCGTTCGAATTTTCCGCATCGCGGGTGGCGCGTTCTCAAAGGAAATTACGTGACTCCGTCGTTGAAAAGCATCGAGTGGAACAGCGTCGAAAAAAGCCGAAGGAGAAAAGCGACCCTCCGCCGAAACGCGGAGCCTCAAGGATCAGAGAGACGGATCATGGCGTTCTCGCGGCGTTAATCGTGACTAAGGACGAGGCGCGGTGCGGTCGCGTGTGTATCGCGTTGCCCTTCGAACCCACGCCCTCCACTTCGGTAGCCATTCTTCGCGCCTTTTCGACGATTCAGAGCGTCGGGGGCACTTTACGACGTTTCCTCGAGCTTCCCCATTCACCTTGGCACCCCTTTTCTACCACCGCCCCTTTCTCTTTCCTTCGATACGCCGCAGTTAAAAAGGCATCCGTGCGTTAACGAGTGCTCGATCGGTCTCAAGGGCTCGTATTATTTGCTTATCCCGCAACCCTCGCGAGCAACCCTTTCCTACGCTCCTCCTCGATAATGCATTGTCGTGCAGCTTGCCAGAGAAATTTCTTGGTCCCCGTAAACAAAAACGATAGCAAGTGCGAGCCATTAATTCCGTTGATTGCCAAATGGATTGCCAAAGCATTCGTGGGAATGTACAAACGATGGAATTTTCTTAATAACAGGAGATAGAGGCATTGAAAGTCAGTAGAGCGATTGCTTTCTTTTGGCCTTGATTCGTTAGAGCATCAATGACTTGCAACGATAAAACTTGATTCATTCGATGTCACAGTGAATTTTTAAAGTAGAAAGATTGTAATTCTAGTATTGTGTTTTATTACGATGAACAGCTTTTTTGCAATTGTGCTTCAAATATCGGTTTCGTGAGATATTTATAGCGCCGATTTATAGATTAAAGTTTATTATATTTATGAACTCTTGTGAAAATCTTAGGAAACGAATGAAGTTGTTTTTGTAACATCTTTTTGCTGAAATACGCCATAGGCGATTAGGTATTCCTCGAAGCGTTTGCTACTTCTGTTGCAACTGTTTGTATAGCAGCAGTGTTTTACTGAATATTTGACGAGTATCTGTTTTCTAATTGTATTATCTGCCACGTGTACAGAATTCTTTCTGTGCCCTGTCAATTCGTTCGCTGTTTCCAGTTCCATCCGTTCATGGCCATTGTCGATACGTAACATTCCCCTCGAGCGCAGTTCATGAAAGTCCCGGTGCGGTGTATTATATAAAAATGCATTGCACGTTATTTCATAATTCTTCAGGGTTAGATAATGTAATAGCGCATCGTTTTACACGCGTCTAATCGTGCTCGTTAGCATCATTACCCCCGTCGTCCTTGTATCGTTGCCTATACTTCTCCGCACACTTCGGATCTACGTATTTCTTTTTTTTTTCTCTATCAGTGTGATGCATGAAAATGCATGCAGTTATCTGGATCCGTGCAATTAACAAGGTAATCGATCGGTTGCACGAAACTTTCCACTTGCAACGTGTCTCTTCATCGCGCACTCGCTACGCTCATATTTCTTTCAAAAACATCAATTTCATATTCATCCCATTGATTTCAACCCTATCCTGAATTTCAACTTCTATCTTAATTAATACATTATTCGTATTTTACATTGCCTTTTACGTAAGACTCACCTTCTCTTTCCTTTCGCAATTTCGAAAATAATTTTATAATTATAAAATCCAATCTTCTCGATTTACTTTGCAGAGACTAATTAAACAGAAGCTCACTCTCCCTGTCAGTTATTCCAATATATCAACCATCGACGTAAAACCAGCGTCAATCGAATGTTCAGCAAATAAGTTCGGTAATCAGATAACCAAGCAGCGTGCTCGATATAAACGCCTGAAAATCCGTGGTCGGTTAATAATTAATATTATCAACGTCGCGGCCGACGCTTCCGACGTCCGATGGCGAGGGATAGTTTGATCCCGACGCGCTGGATGAAATTGCGTCGACGGGAAGTGGGTCAGTCGAGGGAATTAAATCGTTTCCCGGCGTGGAAATTCGATTTTCCTCGGCCCTGTCCGCGCCGCGAAATTCTCCCGGGGTTCGCTGGAACTGGGACACAACGAACAAAATGAAGTTTCCTCTCGATGTGACTCATCGCGACGGTAATACTCGAGCCGGTGTCATTTTTGGTCGATATTATCTCCTCTGAAAAGCACCGTTGGATCCTGGCATCGCGCAATCGATAGTTCGGCTAACTATTGTAGTACTTGACGCAACCACTTTAGCGTTATCTGTTTACTTTCGATCAAACTGCCCAGCTAATTGCCTCGAGATCCTCTCGCGGCCTCGTTCCTTTTATCTCGCCTGTTTGGCATCGCGTGTCGTTAGAAAGACATTTTTCAATATCCCCGTTATTTTCGAGGATCGTTATCCTCGAAGGATCCTAGAAATCGGTATGCGGATCAGACGTTGAATGCATGCAGCTTATCGCGATGAAAATATTGAACTTTTAAATTACTGCCGAACAATTCTAGAGTAATCTGACGTAGATCATTTAGAAGAAACTAGTAATCTGAAGGAAAGTGATATGCTTAGCAATTGAAAATCATCCGAGTTTACAAGTAAAATGTCGTCGAATCTTATTATCGAAACACAACATCTTTTTTCTTAAGAAGAAACAATGGAATATGGATTAAAGAAAGAATGCTGAGCAAATGAAACCACTTGGAAAATTTGTTGCAGAGTTCTCGAACTCTTCACGCTCTATTGTTCAAATATATATTATTCGTTGCATTTGAATTCATTCGTCAAAGATTAACCCTTGGAAATTTAAAAATCTCAAACAAATTATCAGTTAATATTCCGACACATTACGCATGCGTTACAATTTCCTTGGTCCACCGCGTTACAAGTTCAATACGTTCACTGTCGACGACGTCTTTCCGCGTCACGGTGAATTCACATCGGGCTGCGCTGACGTTTATACGCGCGTTCGCATATATTTCGCATGCAGCGTTGCGAAGTTTTGAATGACTCTTGATGCCAGTCTTGTTGCGTTCGAAAATTGAATTTTCTGTTGCGCGCGTTCCGATCTCGTTCCCCGCACCTTCGTACTGTCAGAGAAAATTCCGTCCTATGGGGATCCGTTTAGAGCAGGTTTCACCCGATCGAATACGAGTTTTCACTTCCCATTGATATCGGGTTCGTGGGGAACTCGTGATCCCGCCCCGGTCGAATACAAACATCACGCGACCGAGCGAGCGCGTTACGCAATTCCGAGAGAAAGTTCACGCGAGATATCGGGCTCCGACTAATTGTCTGGTTCTCCCAGGGCCGCTGGTCCATTAGACGCTTCGGGCGCAGGGCTCTGAGTCCATGAAAACGAGCTGGAAGAGTTTGCCGCGAAGAGGTAGCTGAATTTTTAACACCTTTCTAGTAAATATGTAATTTCACGTTTTAAAAACGTGGTCTTTCGTGTGGCAGCAAATGAAATTAACTATTAACACAGATATTAGTTGGTCATATAGTTACACGTTCTAAGCAGTATCTGATTTTTCATCGATTTTTGTTGATCTACTAAAACAACCAGGAAGTGCTGCTTCGTTCTTGTAGTAAATTCTTTTAGTTCTTATATAGGAATCAAGGGGAAAGACGAACCTATGAAGTCTTCGACGTCTTATAAAGAGATATCATTTTTGAAACATGAGTGAAAGTATTTTTCTGTTGAACACTGTTGATCGAGGACTAAAGGAGTTGAATCGATATCTTCCACGTGGAAATGAAACTTCATTCGCAAGTTTAGATTTCCGTCCAGATGAATATTACAATTATTTCAGTATTTCTCGTTATTGAGAAGTTAACGTTATGTTCACTGAAGGATTTCGAAGTATCACCTGAAAATGATCGAACTTAGGAAGTAATTAAAATTCTAAAAGCTGTCCGTCAGGATACCGTTAAGGTAATTTAGAAGTTAAAAGGTAAATATATTTGGACCTGGCACAGCCAGGACATTTCGACGTTGCACAGCAGTGAATCATGAAGCGCTAATGCGGCCCTGGGTTCTTTCCTCGATCGCGTTGTAGCCGTTCGTGTACTCGAAACTGAAGCCCCGAGTACCACTCGAGCGTATGAATAATACACTGTGGAGTGTCCAGTTTCGGCGAATAAGCTGCTCGAGGATCGCTATCGGCGAGACAAGTGGATCTAATTTCCGCGATGTTTCTTATTCGCAGAGCCGAAGAAACGGCGCTTTCATCCACTGAGAGGCTTAAGGAAAATCTTCCGGCGGAAAAGCCGGGGTGCGGCCGATGCCAGATTGGTCTCCAGCCATGTGGACAGGGACGCGGAGCTCGCGCGACTCCCGAGGGAGGATATCACCGACAGACATCCCGCGGGCCGGCCGGAAGAAGCTCGCAGCCGAAGCGCTAGCGAGCTGCTCACCGACTCCTGCGATCGGGAAAGGTGAGCATCTTAGCATACCTAACTGACAACTATAGTATGTAAAGAGTAGTGTTTCGAATATATCCCATTGTTTGTTTTGAACGTTGCTTACAATGTTGTTTAACACCAAAGCTACCGTGCAGTCGAATTGACAGTTCGAAATTGATCTATGGAAACTCCGAGAGTGCATCTATTGAGAGTTCCGTTGACTTACAATCCAGTTTGCGCATTGCTAAGTGAATCTTTTTAATTATTTCTCAGAGAATCATCTGTTTTTTTCAATCATTGGAGAAAAGAAATCAAGTATTGATCATTTTGACCTATCTAGCAGTTCTAGTGTTAAGTTCAGTTTTTGGAGAAGTTGCGTGAGTATGTGACAAAAATTCAGTTAATCTCCAACGTTACGTTTCATCAAACTTTGTATTATTTATTCCTAAGAAAAGGACTGTGCCAACATTACACAGTGTTCCCAGGCAGATACTCAATCCGAGTACTAACCGCGCTCGATGCCTTTTGACTTTGGTGATCGAACGAGAACCAATAAATTCGAACATGATTTGAAGGTTGGGGGTGTTCTAAGTGAATGAAATTCATTGAAATGGTAAAAGAAAGATTGTCATGGTTGTTCGACAACGCGATTTAAGTGATTCCGGCGTGAAAATAATTGGAACACGGTATCGTGTACCTAGCACAAGATCGATAGACTCGATTCTATTAGAGGGAAACTAGATAAAGGTTGGTATAGATTACCCGAGTAATTAAGCTATTGGCTCAAGCCACTACCTTATCTTTGGTTTTCCGTTCGGCTCGACGGCGCAGTGTCACGAGAGATCACGTTGTCTCGAACACACTCGATACCTCACCGCTGACCTACTGTCCTTTATTTTCGTAATTCGATTGCGACCGTTCACGATCGCTCGCGCAATAATTTGATTTATCCCGAATATAATCGAGCTGTCATAGTTTCCCGCTTGATTATCCGCTAATTCGATCATTGGAAAACCGAACGGAACAAGGGACAACTTTGCTGGTTCTTTCCATAAGACATTAATTAGATTTATCCCGAATATAATCAAGTCAGGGTGTTTCTCGGTTGATAATCTGTTAACTCGATGATTGGAAATTAGAACGAAACAAACGATAACTGATAATTCTCTCTTTATGAAATTTGTCATTCGATTTGTCTAGAATATAATCGAATTTCGTTTTTTGGTGATCTGTTAATTCGATAATTGGAAGGACGAATGAATAAATTGGTAACTCTCAGTTCCTTAATAGACTGTAACATTTGTTATTAAGACCACGAATTTTCATATGAAGGATCAATTAAGGAATCCTCGGTTAATTTATTGGTTTCAATGTTTCGTTAACTAATCATAGGTATGTACGTGAAATGTTGAAATGTTAAGCTCCGTATCTACGAGAAAAAATGAAACTCGACCCGTTTGACAATCTTGCTGGTCTCCGTTAAAAGCTTCATTATTTCCCTCGTACTGACTTATTGTCCATGGAAACAATACTTTCACTGTAGTCTGCACAATGCCACGATTTCTGTGTAGTTTTAAGATCAACAACATTGTTGATATATCAGCAGGTTGCTTACTTTTATGAACCACGTATTTATTTCACCGGTCGTAGCAATATTACAGTGTCTCTTAGGAACAGTTGCCATTGCGTAGACAGAATTGCGTTCCAGCTTTTCTAAAAGCAGCAGCAAACCGTTGGCAAAGAAAAAGTTGCCGAGTTTTCCATAGAGAGATACGTAGCTCGAGATTCTGCAACGAGGTTACGTTTTGTAACGCTATCTAGACTGAACGTAGCGCATTGATTCATGCTTTGAATCTTTTTCCCTCTTTGCATCGCGACGCGCGCACATGTTCGCTTACTTTCACGTACTTTCCAAGAAATAATTGAATATTGAAATCTCTATGTGACTCCCGTATATTTATCCTAACTATGTTCCCACTTTTTGAGTTAGTTTTAATTTCCTCGTAACATGCCGCTTTTATATGCGGCAAGAAGTTTCAGATTTACCGTGTAATTCCTTGATATAAATAAAAACTACGGATGTTTCTGTAGATTTATCATTCTAAAACGTTATAATTTAAGCGTCATAGTTCTGAAGCTCGGGTTATCCACAACGAACAGAGTAATCAGATGCAACTATTTTACAATGGAGTCATTCATTTGAAAGTAATCATTTCCAGACAAAGAAAAATTAACAAATTTCGTGAAATTTCTGATGTAGAAACCAACGCGTTAACATTGTCATTCGAAAATATTCCAAAAATTACTCACACTTATAAACAACTCAATTTCAAACTCCAGTGACTTAAGACATTAACACGTTGCATGCCATGGGGGTCATCGGTGACCTCAACCAAATCGAATTAGTATGATTCACTCGATTAAACTATGATTATTTGAAAAGTTTTCTATATTACAAGTAATGCCACTTAATGCAGTGACATTCGACAAGATAAACCTATAATAATAATAACGTGATTCAATTACATAAGTTGATACTACGTTATTTTCATTTTCCATATTTTCCTCGGATAAATCGTGCGGCATTCAACGTGTTAACCAAATCAACATTCATCAAAATCCCATACAGGCGAACCAATTTACTCAACAAAAAAAGACCAAAATGTTTCAGAACGACTGTTCTATTATTCTCGTACCCCACATATCCAACAAAATTCATCACTCTCGTCGTCAAAACAATTAATTTCTAAATCTATTAAACAATTCAATCATCCTCCTCAAATTTGTGCGACACAACGATCAATAAAAAATTGCCAGACAAAACGACAACGGTCCAAATCCCATCCGTTTCCCAAAGATTCAAAATTCATGTTTCATTTTGATTATTCAAAAAGTCGTATCGTTATCCCAGTCAATGAACGATACAGTTTTTCCGTTCGCAGGAACGCGCAGAAATCGCCGGAGGCCGTTTCGTGTCGCGTCTGTACCGGATATCCCGGCGCGAGAATTTCTTTTTCCTCGGCCGGCCTTCTCGTGCTGGAGCAAATAAACGAGCCGGTTTCTCGGACGTCTGACGGTTCGCTTTGCTTTTATTTTTCCAGCGTGTTCCTCAGGAGGCCGGGGATGGACGAATCCTTCGTGAAGCTGCGAGGAGGAGCCGGGAAACTGTCCGTGTCGCACGACAGCGTTTTCCCTGGGGAGGTTCCGCACACACGGCCGCTCTCGTCGTTGGCCAGCCTAGCCACCCTCGAGGTCAGTACCTTCTTTATTCACGAGCGAGCGAACGGACGCTGTGATTCCACGAGAAACGTTCGGCTGGAATTTTTTGAAACGCGCTGCGCCTTGATTACCGTGCCAATCGTCTCACTCGAGAATCGACGGATTAATTCTTTGCGCTCGGAAGACGGTACACTGTTGCCATTCGAATTGAGGGAACAAAATTCTAACGATGTAATCATTACATATAAATTGTACAGTGTAATTTACATTAGATGTAAGGTGTAAAGTAATTAGAATGGATTTTTATACAGAATTTTACGCAGGTTTTACCGGTCAAACTTTGTACATTCTATGGCACTAAGAAAAAGATGTTATACAAACAATAGTGGCTAATAAGAAAATGTATAAAATGAAATTTGTACTTTTGAGGATACTTATTGTAGAAAAGAATTTTCGGTGTTAAGTCTAGTTTAAAATCTAAATTTGCGTAATAATCCACAGTGTAGCGATTAAACGTGAAATGTTGAAATGGGATAGTTTTGTCACTCTATTCGTGTATTATTTAAATTTAACAGAGTCAGAGATTTAATCAGTGTTTCATTAGAAGATTGTCAATGCCTGTAGCGGAAAACCTTTCTAATACGAAAGATTAAAGGGTTAGGAACACCTACGAGTGATTTTCTCGCGACGAAGGAGTATATTCCAGTCAGTGTTCGAAGACAAGCCTATCAAAATCGCGGTGATCGATGTAATTCGCGATCCCCGGCGAAGAACGATAAACAGAGGCGCGGCGGAGGCGTTATTCTCGTTATCCAATGAGCATAATGCCAGTCGCATCATTCCAAGCACGCGTGAATCGAGTTAAGGCGGTTACACGTGTGTCGGGGGTCCACTCGTGACTCGTCTTCCAATTTCCTTGGCGAACGACGAAACTCGACGCTCGGGTCTCTCGTGACATCAACTTTAAAATTCCTCGTAATTACGCGATGTGCACTCGAGAAAATCTTTTCTTCTCATTTGCTTAACACAGTATTGCATTTGCGCTAGAACTACTGCGCCCGACAAAATGGCGAGTTTCAGTTCTCTTATTTCACAATTATTGATAACTTAAAGGGATTAAATATTCGAAATCATTTTGAAAATAAGTGGTTCAACTTGAATACTGTAATTAATATACGAAGAAATCAGAAAAAGTTTGTTATTACAGTTTTTGTAAGGATCGCATATTAATTATATTAATTGTTCGGTAGTTCTAGTGTTAAATCACTAAGTCATTCGAAGGAAATCTATAGGAATTTGTAAGTATCCGATTCGAACGCTTCGTGCTCGGATTTTAAATACGTATGCAATGAGATGGCTTTCTGTTCAAATACGAGAAATCTGATATTGTATTCTGTATTATCATTTATTTCGTGGTTTATTCTGTAAAAGCAAGATCGCCAGTACAGTAATTTGGGAAAGAAACCACGCCCTGAAATGATTAAGTCAGGTCTTGGTCAGATAAGAACATATCGGACTCCGCGTTATCAATAGCTTCGAGGTTTATCAGTATAAAAAGAAAATAAATAAACAAACTATCAGCAAACGTAATCGTCAGTTCCAAGTGAAAACTTTCTTCACGAAATTCAGTCGTGGATGATAAAAGAATCTAATCCGGTTGATCGGTGCCAATCTAATCCGGAACTTGCCGGACCGGACCAGACTTAATTATCATTCACTCGATATTTCACTAAATTTTCACATTTATTTTCATTTCCGTCGAAGTAGTAAATAAATATGAAACTAAACGTTTTAAAAGTAAAAATGTGAAAAAATAAATAAATCAAATATACGGAAGAAAACTAAATGAAATTGCAGCCATTGCAAAATGTCTTCTGCACAATATATTAGCATATTCGCATTGTTTTGCAAAATCTTTCCTATATATACAGCGGGTATATTAATGATATAGAAATATTTCAACATATGTATATTCAAACTGCGATAATTATTTATGTAATCAATATATAATATAATATATAATCTAGGTGTTTTAACACTAAAAGACAGGTAAAAATGACCCATTCCTGATTTCTCCATTTTGCAATTATTTAAAAGATAACAGGTGTTTCTCAGAGAAATGATTAAAAAATTTAATTTAGCAAGACAAATTGAATTGTAAATCAATTAAGGTTTCAATAGATGCATTCTTGAAGTTTCTATAGAGGAATTTCAAAAAGTCAATTTAGTTGGTCGTTTTAGTAATAACACGTTCCTATCGGGAAACGAGAATTCACGCTTTTAAAAAATAAACGAGAATTCTCGTTTTCCGATGCGAATGTGTTAATATACTGGATTGTATATTATATTGTATATCAACTGCAAAAGTCTGCTTTTTAAAAAATAAGCGTTGGCGTCGGGAAATATTTCGTCGGCTCGTTTTTCGAACGAATGATCGAGTGCGCGTTTAAAAAACCGGCGACGGACTCGTTGCATTCCTTCTCTATTCGCGACACGGCCGTCCGCGAGCGATGAAAAGCTCGTGCCGGAAATGGAACGCGACGGGGCCGATTTTCGTGCGGTCAGACGCGAGGAAAAGACGAGACGAGTCGCAGATGTTACCACCGGAAATGAAGGAAAACGATGTTTCTCTGTGCGGCTTCCGGGTAGACGGCAAAAGTAAAAACGTTCCGCGGATACTTTCAAGATGATGAAGTTTATCCCGGGGACACGAGACGCGGAATGTGAAAGAGAAATCAGCAGCGATTACCATGGAAGCGAATAAAACTGTCTGTGATGTAAATAACACGACTGTCGAGTTTTTTGAAAGCAGAATCAACGCAATGCGACTTTACGTACTCTCTAGGTGAATGAAGTAAGCATCATTAATTTACAATTGAAATTTAGGTGACTGCAGTGAGTCGTAATTAATAGTTGCAGATTATAATTTGCAGTCGAATGAGAAATTTTATATCACAGTCATTTCGATCGCTAGATTGAATGTTTCACTCAGGTTTAAATTGTTATTTGGATTTCAGTGTTCATTAAGATTTAGATCTTCATTTTGGTTACAATTTCCATCGATTCAATTTCCACCGACATTAAAATTTTCATTCGGATTTCAATTTTGAATCAAATTTATATTTTCATGTAGGTTCTGGTTTTCATTCAGATTTGCATTTTCATTTCGGTTCAATTTCTCATTCAGATTTAAATTTTCATTTCAGTTACGATTTTCGAGATTTAGATTTACATTTTCATTTCAGTTTCAATTTTCGAGATTTAGATCATTATTGGGGTTTACATAATGTTCATCGCGATTTATATTTAGCCTTAAACGTTCATTGAGATATAATTTCCATTCGACTTCAATGTTTCACGCGCATCGCACTCGGTGTATTTTCGCGACGAAAAAATGTCGCCAACGGAAGAGGACGCGCGTCGAAAGTAAAAATCAAATTATGGGCGCGTTGCGCACGGATCGCTGTTTGCTCACGGCTGGGACGTGAATTTCCATATCGCGGGCAGCAGATTCGTATCGCGTTCGAAAGCGAACGAAGTCGTCTCGCCTGGAGATTTCCACGTTGCCCGGGTCGGCGAACGAACGGAGAACCCGGCGCCCGGCCGGAGAGAAGATCCTTTCTATTCGCGGGGGGACAGCAGAGGAATAAAAAAAAATAGGAGCGGCCGACGGTTCCGTTCTGATACTCGAGGAAAGTCTCTCGGATTGTTTCGCGCGTTCGTGGAAACGCGCGACGCGACACTGCATTTGTCGTTGATCACCATTTTATTTCCCGTTCTTTCTTTTTTACTTTCCAGCGACGACAAACGAGGAAGAGCAACGAAATCGAGCAAAAGGACTACAATCAACACGTTGTGCAGAGGCACAGGATATCATTGCGGGTAACTACCCTTTTCTGAATAGCTCTGAGTAAAAAGAACTTCAAATGTTAGGTCTACCGGAAAGTCCTGTCGATTTTTGAATTAGAAGAAAATAATACGTTCCTAATATATGTATTAACTCTTTTGAAAATCGGTGCCGCCGCAGTGGCGACATTTAACATTTGTTTTCAAAACGGTGTCGCTAATACGGCGGTATATAAATTTTAATGGAATAAATAGTATTCTTTCTAGTTACTCAAGGATTTATTCGTTCCTTCATTTTTTCTAGGTCAGAAAGCCCTTTTTATAGTTTCTGAATATTTTGTATAATAATTTCAGAAGCCAAAACATTAATTTTCTCAATTCTTGCTTTCTGAGAGGTATTGTAAGTGTTTATTATTCTTTGCAGTATTGTTATTCAACAAAATCCATTAACTTCAAAGAATGATCTGTATGTTTTAATATCCACATACTTATTATACATCACCTATAGATACATAACTTTGAGAACATATATTTTCTCCGACTAGTTAGTACTGTCGCCAGAAAAATGTCCCGATAGTAAAGGGTTAATATTTACTGAACAATATAATTTCCGCCGCTACTGACGACTCTTTTCCGACGTGATGGTAACTTGCGGATTCCATTTCTGTAGAATAACTCATCTTTGGAAACTCGTGATAACATTATCGGACAGAACTCTACTCCGGTAGATCTAATATAATGATTAGACAAATGTCAAACATTTGCTTTCATAAATTTCTACGTTGCATAATGATTCGCTGTGTAATAAGGACATCCCGCCAATTGCAGCCAACGAAAGACAGGTCCCTTAACCCTTCGTGGTTCGACGTGTCTTTAATTTCTCAATGTGAAACACTGAATTGAAACTTTCCATTCATATTAATCCTTTGCGGTACGATTTAATCACGAACAGTCGTGCATGAAAGAAATATTTTATTTTCATTAAAGAAAACAACATGTTTCATTTTATGATTGAAAGATTTCGTTAATTAAATGTGTATTATTTACTGATGTTCATACTCAATCTAGTAAACTACTACTAACCATTAAGCCAATTTATCCTCAATTGGGAACTGCACAAATTTTGTGCATATAAAAATATATTATTTGCAACTACAGTTACATGACTAGTGTAGCTCGTCACTGTACGGTTTGGCATGAAAAATTAATAGCTAAGCTTCTTTCACCGCAAGGGGTTAATATATTCTTTCGATATACACAGGGTGAGTCGTTCAATCGTGCCAATGTTTATTTATCGACTGAAAGAATCTTCCAGGCAGAAGTTGTTAGGCATCAAGAACTGGAACTAATACTCACAAAAATACGATTGGTACGATTGATACCAAACAACTTTCGCCCGAAACACACCGTTCACCTGATAAATCGTTGAATTTAATAGCCACGATCAATTCACCCTGTACATTTGATATTCCATTCATAACAAACAGAAATCAGAACAAATCTGCATACCTCCACAGAGAATCGCAAAGGGTTGAAACCTGCATACACCCAGGTGTCCCACAAAATAAGAATGAAACAAGAATTCAACTAGAAAACCGAATGCACGGTTGCAACCGCGAATTAATAGAAACGCGTAAGCAGGCCTCGACGAGTCACGAAACGAGAGCGCAGATTTGCGCGTGAAATTTTCGTCGGGCAATTTTACCGTTGCGGCGCGCGCGTGCGTCCAGCGGGTAGGAAAGCGCGTGGTAACGAGACCGAAAAAGGAACGGCCGAAGAAAACTCCGTAAGAGTGTTCTTTGAAACGGAAACGGTCTCGTCTAGGAAACGAACCGTCTCTTTTTTTCTCTCTCCCTCTATCTCTATCTCTGTCCCTGTCCCTCTTCGTTCCGTAATTCCCTCTCTTTCTATCCCTTCGTCCCGTTCCTCCTTTATCCGAGCACCGCCTTCAATAACGGCGTCGCGCTCTCGCGTTCGCGCTCGCGCGGCTCGAAATCTGGGACACCGGGTTTTACAGAAACGATAATTACGAGCGGCGGCGTGGCAGCGTATTGTGGATAATTGCCGAGCGTGTACACGCGGGTGTTCGTTCGTTTGCAGGTGCTCGAGCAAATAAAGACGGTCATAGAGAACCGGAACCAGCTAGCCACGGCGGCCTCGTCGGACACCGCGGCCGGCACCACCGCGCACGTGAGTATCGGTACACCCCGGGATTAGACGGTGCCCGACACCGCGAACGAGAGAGGACACCACCCCCGACGACGCGACGGGGACTTGAACTTTTACTCGTCCGTTGACCCCTCGCCAACGAGACAGACCAATTTTTTTGCGCGAGCTTTTATCTCGATACGAAACCGCGAACGGCCGGATGAAAGTACGCCCGGGCCGGCACGTTAGACCGAAAGAAGACGGTGTTAGGCACTTGGACCTCTTCGCTGTGACGGATTTCTTAAAACTATGAACTGAAAGGGTCGATTTCGACTTCTTTGGAAACTGGGATCGGTTGTATCGATTGATCTATTGTTTCTTATGGATGGTTAAAATGTTTTAGTAGTTTCGTTTTTCGTGTTATTTTTTGAAGGATTGATCTGTTTTTTAATGATGGGTGATCGGACAGTCTAAGGGATTGACTTGTATTTTGGTATGGAGTTTTTAAATATTTTGGTAGTCTTTTTCAAGAGTAAATCGATTTTTTAAATGATCCTTGGGAAAAATATGCTTGTCATTTCAATAATTGATGTTGAATATTATTAGTTTTCGAATGTTGAATTAAGAATCTTGAAAGCTTTATGTTAACGCAGACGAACATTTTTTGAAGATATGTATTATAAACGATCTAATTGTAAGACGTTCGTTAACTTGATGTATTATGTAGTAGGCATTATTTCTGGTCGCGATATTCTTGTGTAAATATTGACAGCAATTAGTGATTAAGTGTGAGTTATCGCGACTGCACACGCTGGGTTGATTAGAAAACAGATTGTACCGATATCTACCGTGCTTTTTAGAAGTAGAAATAGTGAACTATGGACAGGCACATTAATCAATGTTATTAGAACATATGCTTAAACGAATTTCAAGGTGCACGGTTTTTCGTCAGTGACAACTTTCTATTTTTCTAAAGCATGAGCAACTTCCATAGAATGTTATAAACGGAAACAATGGGTAACGGACAGACCAAAAGATTCGAGTAGCGTGACGATTTTCCTCATGACTCACCGCTAATAATCATTACTCAGACCTCATTATACTTTTCCTTAACACGTTTATCTACTGTTAAGTACAAGCAAGATACTTTAAGTGTTCGAGTCACTTAGAACATCCCGTACATTTAATTCTAGATTAATTTCAGCCTTAATTATTTATTCGTTTTTTATTAGAACTTCAAGTAACTACTGGTTTGTTTCACTTTTATGTAATATTATATAAACTATGTACTTGTTACGTTCAAACATTGCGTAATAGAGGTGCGATAATAATATAATTCCTAGAGTGAATCCAAAATTTAGCAATATATAAACATGTACATCTTAGAAAGTTCTCCTACGTAATTCAAAAAATCAACGTACTTTCGAAATTAGCAAAAATTTTATTCCAACATAATTGTCCCTTTGTGCGGTTATGTAGAAAATGTCCTGTATAGAGCACATTATGTCCAAGGAAGTAAAGTACAGTGAAACTTCGATTAACCGAATTATCATTTTCTATGATGTAGATCATCAAGAGTCTGAATTAAATTGGAACTGAATAATTCCAATTCTTAGATAGTATCTCAGAATATACTCGATCGAATTATACAAATGAGTGTTTAAGAATTTCTACTCGAGCCTTGATTTATCTAGACTATTAAATTCACGTTCAATTTAACTTACATTTTACGAGTTCATCGTTCTTTTTATCGCTAAGAACTGCCCCGTTAACTAAAAAATTTAATAATGCAAAGTATTGTATATTAAAACGACGATCACAATATTTATTACAAAACTTGCATTTATCCCATTAATCATCAATAATATTTTATGAATACAATCGTGATAAAACTCAAGCAAATAACGAACATATCATTCGTCAATAAATAAACCGCAATGGTTTACCGATTGATTTAATAAAAATCGAAATGAAAACTTTATCTAGCACAAAGTCCGTAGATAGAACAATAGTCATCAACTCAGTGTTCGAACGGACTCAAACGCGGAATGCCAAGGGTTAATTCTTTAGGTTCAAAATAAAAACTTTTAAGAAAAATATATTTATTTCCACAATATACGTTAACAAACTATTTTTAAGAAAAAAACTATTATAACATTACCATATTGATTTTGTACTGGTATTTTCTCGACTAGTCCACTGGTTCGCATTTCACTGATATGGAAATGAGTCGCTCGGAAACCAATGCGGTTAAGTCGATTTTTTTATATTTCCTGATTTTCATAAATTTTAATGCAATAAATAATATTCTTCTTAGTTATTCAAGGATTCACTCGTTTCTTCATTTTTTCCAGGTCAGAAAGCCCTTTTTATAGCTTCTGAATATCTTGTATATTAATTTCGTAAGCCGAAACCTGAATTTTCTCAATTTTTACTTTCTGAGCTTAACCGCATTGGCTTCTGAGCGACTCAAATATGTCGTTCCAAGGCGATGCAACCGGAAGCTAAAGGGTTAATCGGTTAATCGAGGTTCTACCGTACACGACGGCGACGGATTAAATTCCAGCGGTCCTCCTCGCTGGCGCTGTTTAATTATATCCGATGACACGTTCCGTTTTTGCGTTTCAGGCTGTCGGTGAACGTTATCAGCAGGAAACCGCCGAGGTAAGATAACACGGTGAACGCTTTTTATTCCTAGAATCGGCGTCCTCGCCGCTCGGACCACTGTTCAAGCGATTAGTCGTGCTCGCGACGCGCACTTGTCAAGTCGATTCGCGGTTTCCATGAGTTTCCTCTGTTGTGATGCGGGTCACCCACGACCCGGCCTTGCCTTCTTGTTCTTTTATGGACACGTTCGTCGCTACCATCTGTTTTATACTCGCCGCAATCATACTTCCCTAATGCAACGTGTGGCATTCATAGAATACTTAAATAATCCAGCGAAGAAGTGAACAGTGCTTTCGAAATTTTGTAACATTCGAATAATTCGAGACTTGGGATATTAGATTCCTGTAGCCAATCGAATATCATTCTTATCAATAATTATTATCAATAATATTGTTACTTTACGATTATGATGTACATACATATATACTTTTATTTATATTCTTTACAAAAAAGTATTACCTTTTTCTATCATTAGTATTACTATCATTGTCAGTGAAGTATATAAACACACTTTATAAGAAGTAGTGACACTAACAAAGAACATGCATGTTTATAGTACAGTTCCTTTCGAACTAGTTATCCGCAGTTTTTCAGATGTTTTTCAAATGGTTTTCAAATGTTTTCCAAATGCCATGCCACTTGCAGAGAGTACACGAAAATCGTTACGAATTATTCAGTGTTAGTCCAAGTGTATAACGGTTGAGTTAAGACAGTGACAGAATTGATAAGCGGAACCAAAATGAACGAGGAAGGCGCGAACCGGAGACAGTTGAACAGACTAATGAACAGATTCGTGGTCCTGGTTTCCGCCAAGTTGAGCCGCTTCGGGCAGAGGCCAGGGGTAAGATGGAAGCGGCGCGCGCGTTATCTGTAACTTTCTCCCTCGAGAGTTCGAGAGATATATTCGCGGGCCCGGCGACTCGTTTGTTAACTACATACTTTCATTTGTTGCGTCACGGCTGCGTTTATACTCGCGTCCGGTAGTGCATTTTGATAACTCGAGGAAAACTGAATGAGGCATGCAACTTTCGTTGTCCTTCTCCCGTGACCATAAGCGTTTAGACCAGGCGAAAAGTCTCATCGTAGCTTTTAACACTAGAACTACCGATCATTTAATACGATTGATATGGAATCCTTATAAAAATTGTAACAATAGATTATTTTCAGTTTCCTTGGATATTTGTTATAGAATTCAAATGAAACTATTTATTTTCAAGATATCTATTTTTATCTATTTTATCTATCAAGATAACTTTATTTTTAAAATATCAATTATTGCGAAACAAGAAAACTGAAACCAGTCATTCTAACTGGTACGGTAGGTCTAATGTTAAAGTGGTTTCGAAGCAAATTTCATTATATTGGATTGAACTTCGTTAAACTGTATGCTGCGGATTCCTCTGAATTTAAATTTTCGAGTCACTCTTTCAGTATTCAGAATTAATCGGTAGCTTGGAATATTCATGGAAGATTTTAATTGGTTACAAAAAGATGAAAGTCTCGGTATATTATACGTAGAATTCACAGTCTAGTTATTATAGAATAAATGCATACTTAATATCCGGCCGAATGCTAATCAAAATTCAGCGTTGCATCTGCCAACAGATGTTACTGCGAAATGTTTCTACCCTTTGAGGATGAGCGAATGGTTTAATTATTTGAACTATAGAAATATTAGTATATAG